CAAGTGCTCGAAATGGACTGCAGATAGCATATCTAGTCGTCTTATGCCTAGTCTAGCACAGAAATATAGTTTAGTCGCACTCTGCAAACGATAATTTGGCAGTTCACTTTTCGAACGGCCCTTATGCCTGTAAAAAAGTGAACTGGGAAATACGATGGAAAAGGCGGCCGTTCCAGAATCGGCCATATTAGCCTGACTAGACTGCATCCCGTCCGCTCTGCAAAGTTAACCAGGCTCAAGCGTGGGTAGTACTCAGGTGGGTGACCACTGGGGAAGTCCACGTGCTGATTCTTTTTGCACATCCATTTACACATCCTTGATTACGAAATTTTTTACCACATGGTGTCACACACAGGCTTGTTCGGGGATCGACTGGCCGGCGGCAATCGTCGCCGCGAGCTCGACGCATGCCAATATCTCCGCTTCTAGGCCTTCCCGCGCGACGCCACTTGGAGACAACACGTATAACATCAATACAAAACATATCCTAGCTTCATAGCGCGCGCGCCGACTCGGAATACCCGCAAATGTCGTACCAGCCTGTCTCAGGATGGCGGCACAGGCCTCGGCGAGCTCGACAAACCTCCATATCTTCACTACCAGGTCGTCCCACGTGACGCCACTTTCGGAGCACCTGTTTAACATCATTACAAAGCATATCCTAGCTCGGCTGCATGGGCGCCGATTCGGAAGACTCACAGACCCGTTTCGTTGAGTCAATCCCGTATGCAGCTCAGCATGCTCGATTGGTTGAAACTGCACTTGTAGAGATCGGATTGACGCCGGGTCGCGCTTGATTATCGCGTATGGCACTAGTACAAGCATGTGTGCGTCGTCACAATACGAAATTGCCGCCTACAGGCCAAATGCGACGCGATTTATCGGTCCCGGACATCAAAAAATCACTAATCGACGAATAAAAGCGTGTTCCGCCCCGAATCTTCGCAAGGTCGTTACATATATCGACGCAGCTCATTACCAGCAACATGAAGGTGGTCCCCGATGAAAAACGCTGTTTTCGGTTTTCCGCTTTTTGCTCGAGATATTGTATACCCCGGCTCTCGGCCCGTTCTGCATCTAGAAAGTACTTTTCACGGCGCATCTTTTTGGTCTCGACATCCGATCGCGTGAATCGGGCTAATTTTGACGCTACGACGCCATTTTGACGTCATGTATTTCTGCAAAGTTTCAAAGCTTAGCCAAATGAAGGTTAGGGCGCTCTCGTGCAGGGTCGTTCTTGCTCTAGGAAGTACTTTTCACGGCGCATCTTTTTGGTCTTGACACCCGATCGCTCAAATCGGACTCCTTCAGGCCCAAAATGACATATATAGGTTCTGAAAGGTCCGAAAACGGTATTTTGCCCATAACTCCTCCAAAAGTTAATATTTTCCAACTTCTGATAGCATTTTTGGATTCCCCGTGAAATTTTACATCTAGATGCATGACGATCTCGCATCCACGAGCAACTTGGTTTGGCGAACTAGACATCGGCCAACAAAGTGGCGACTCGATAATACGACGTAACTAGTCGACCATCCAGAAAGTGACTCCGCGAAGGCTTGAAACATGAAAAGATGCGCCTTAAAAAGTTATGCAGCCTGTGCAGTCGTGGCGCGCTCAAAGCTTTCTGGTTGCCGAGATACGAGCATTTCCGTTTTGGGCCATTTAGGGCCAACCGCTCGACAAACCTTCGATATCTGATGAACGATAAGGTTTCAGAGTCCGGGAACTAGTCAGTTGACTTCCCCTCGTCAATACAAGAATCGAGTGAAAAAAAAATTTTCCGTCGAGGAGTATCGAATTTCACCAAGTGCCCGCCCATACTGAAGCCAAGTCTAATCTGCGGGCGAGAATTCTTGGTGAATTTTTCCATCACTGTTTTACCTCGTACTTTGTGCCTGTAGCGTGTTTTGTAGTGTTTCTACCATTTGGGAACGTGTAGCTTTGTGCCTACCTTTATGGAGACCAAAGTGAAAATTCAAGTTGGTCAACTAAATGAAAAGACGATCCTGATAGGCGTAAAAAAATTTTTTTTTTGCGTCTATAATTTCTTAGTCCTAGTAGGTGCTTGTGGCTCTGCCGCCGGCGCTGGACGGGTTAAGGATAAAAATATGCCTGGGTTTCGGTAATCCAGGTAGAAAGGGAACGATTTGTGATGTACTTTTACGCTTCGGTGTGACTGTTTAATTCATGATGAATTCGTGCTGCTCTGGTGTTTCTTGCGCGGTATCTCGGTACTGTTGCGGCTATATTCATCAGCACAAGGAAGGTTGGCATTGTAAACTGCCCGGGAGTTGCGCTAGCTTGCTGGTGTAATTTCTCGGGTGAGTTTCGCATTGCTAGCCTGGCAAAACATTTCAGTAAAACGATTTGTTGGCATCTCGGTTAGGCTGCAGTTGAAAGGCTGTAGCTCGAACCTTGATGCGAATTGGAAATCATTCTCGGGAAATCAAAGCGGCTCCTCTCGGGGAGCTGCGGCGAAATTCTTTCGTGCATGAACTAGAAACAGTAGAAAGGACGGGTTGGGCTTCCATTACCTCTTGGGAATTCCTCGCTGCGGAAAGGTTTTGAATTGCTTGCAAATCGAAATTGGACGGAGGCTTGGATGAACCGAGTAAACTTGGAGGAACTGAGTATAGTGCCCCGGGTTTCAAAGAAGTTTTGGGTAGCTTGTGTGCTTGCATGCTTGTTGCCTAGGACCTATTCCCACGAGGGGCTGATCGCGTACCCTTTGCGCCAACATCCAGCACACAAAAGGCAAGTGCATTCGCCACGGCGGTGGGCGGCAATGCCGCAAGGACCATTGTGAAACCCATGCGCGCGTCGGTGGCTTCTGCTGGCGCCACCGCACGCCGGACAGGGCGAAAGGAAACACTCGGGTGGCCTCGCCAGCTCGGTCGCCTGTCGAGTACGAGTGCGCGTATTCTACGCTCGAAGCCATCGACTGCTCGATTCTAACGGCGCTTCTCGCGGAGACGGACAGCACAGACTTCCAGGGGCATTTAATGCTGGAAGACTACTTTGATGCCGTGCTTGAAAGTCAAGTTTAGTGGACGACAGCGACGAATTACAGTTGTTAAACCTATCTCTATGGTGTGTATTTGTGTGTTGCAATGAGTTTCATGTTACTAGACATTGCTGGCCTTTCACGAGGACGAATTTCTTCTTTTCCTCGACGTCACTGGCACCTTGGGCAGGCTTGCGATCGAGTACGGACCTGCTAGTAGGTAGTACTAGCCTGCGCACTGCGACTCCTGAAGCAGCCCTCGTAGCTACGATCGCGACTGTTCTGAGGGGCAGATTGGGTCGCCTCTGTCGGCCGTGAACCCCAAAAGAGAGATCAGCGTGTATCGGTCCCTCGTGCGTGGTCAAGGTCAACTGATACGTTGATACATGGTTGATACAAAGCAAACGTCCGCTTTGCACGACGACGAGCCCAAGTAGCCTCGTGCAAGTTGTGATAGACCCTAGGTGGCGCTATGAAACATGCACTATTCCGGTTGTACAGGACTTATCGTTGAAGGCTTTGTCTTGGGATGACACATCCTCGCCCTCGCGTCGTTCTATTGCAACGAAGTATCGCGCCAGACTTCTATCAATATCAATTTCGAGCTGTGTATATTCGTTTTAGAAAGTAGTATCACTGCGCGTGCAGCCACGGGAACGGGTCGACCGACTCTGCCAGCGTGAGCACCGCATCGAGAATAGACTCGTCGAGGAGCCTTTTA